CCTTCGTGCTGTAAAATTACTTAATTGATCTTTTTTCCCATATGCTAAACTTACAGCTTCATACTGGACTTGTCACATCTCAAATACCAGCATTCGGGAGGCTGAGGCAGGAGGATCGCCATGAGTTTTAAGCCAGACTGGCCTCTGTAGTGCAAGGCCAGCTTAAAATGCATAGCAAGACCCTGTCCCAACAAAAAAGAAAAGGGAAAGAAAGCTTGAGGATTGATAAAGTACACGTTTCCAACAACTGGTTTAAATATGATTAGTCAGCCCCAAGTGGCTTTGCCGGCACTTCCTCTAGTCCTGGAGTTCCTAATTTCTGCTCTCCTACTTTTGTTTTGCCTTGAATTAATTTCAGACGTTAGATTGAAAACGTCATTCCAAGAACTGTTACTTCCAAGAGTTCTGTGATAGGAAGGAGGAAGGAGGATTTCTCAGTTGGTAGAGAAAGAGGGAGCGTGAAGGGTTAAGAGAGGCTTCTGTTTCTGCGCAGCCCTTTGTGTGAGCACATGCACAGGTCCATTGAAAGTCTGCAGAGGATGGGCAGGCCACCAGTTGCTGGTCTCCTGCAGTTGCAGGAGACATCTGTTGCCCCAGAGCTCTAACCAATCTGTTCAAAGGGACATCCTTCCTTTGTGGGCTCGGGGTGCAGACAACAGTGCTCACTCCGATACAATGGTAATTAAATACACAGAGTCTGCGGCAGTAGGCGTTTATTACATATTCATTAGTTTATTTTCATTGTTGTCATAGTATTACTATTTGGGTAACAACAAGAACCTACTTTTAGGGCATTGTATCTTTACATTATAAACAAATAAATTGGTTTAGTAAGTTTTATGGTCCAGTATTCCTATTAGGAGCCTCTCTGGAATATTTTTTTAAAAATCTTTTAATTTTTTACCTAGTTTGAGATGAAGAATTATCAAAGAACTTTTAGAAAACCTCTCCACTAAATGGAGGAATTCCTGTGTGTGCAATACATTTCTAGTAAATTACCACTGTGTCATAAGTTTCTGTTCAACTATTAACAAAGTTTTTTTGGCATTTAAAAGAATTAGTTACACTTCATTGTCATTTACAGAATTAGTTTAACAAATACTGTAATTTTTACATAGCTTTTAACAAACATTTGCGTTTCCAGTGCAATATCTGCAGGGAATCTATAGACGTAAAATTGTTGAAATCTGTTTTATATTGTGGTTTTTGCCCAGTACCTTTTATATTCAAGAATACATATCAAGGTCAATTATGAAGGATCCTGATATAAGGATCAGAGAGACCATATTTCTTGGAGTTGTATGATCAGTGTGGGAGTATAAACTGACCTACTTCTCATGTGAAACTTGTTTTTTCATGCAGTGAGGATACTTCATTAGTTAGTTATTAGTTTGATTAAGGTAATTTACTTACGTGTATACTTGAGTAAATTCAAAACTTAAAAGTCTAAGCCATGCATAATTTAGAAACTAAAAGAACTTTCTCCCTACATATAATGACACATTTTGTGATGTTACTGGATTTTTTTTCTCTTTCAAAGTTGTGTTGTTGTTATTATTATTATTATTTTGGTACCAGGGGTCGAACTCACAATTGCGCACTTGCAAGGCAGGCGCTTATGCCGCTGAGCTAAATCCCCAGCCCCAAAGTTGTATTATTTTTAAAGTACTGAATAAAAATAAAGATCATGTGCCCTTCTTTATTCTAAAGTTTCTTACAGTAATTACTTGTAAGTTTTTTACATTAACAAAGTCTGTAGCCTTTGACAAAACTTGTATCACTTTTTAAACTTTGGATTTAGTATTTAGTTTTTTATTGAATGATTTTTTTAATATTACCAATTTTGGTTTGTTATTAAGTGCATTGAAAATTTGTTATTAAGTGCATTGAAAATACTAATGACAAGTTGATAAGCATTCTAGAGATAGAAGTTTTAAAAACTAAATCTTTGCTACTTAGACCAATGCAAATTAGACTATTTCAAATTAATGTTATCTTTCTATCTGTGTGATGTAAGTGATCATATTTATGTGGTACATACATGTCTGCCTGAAGAGGGATCTCATTGTTTTCTACAGGTACTAAAAGTCTTTTAACTGCTTGTTCAGTATAAGATGAGGTTAGATAACTTTCTCTGAGCTAACCAGTGAAAAGAGGCCTGTCACCTGTCACTGTGAAAGCGTTCAACTAGAATATTTTAAAGTGAACGTTATGGTACCTAATAAAATTGACTATTAATTTTAAAAATAGGTGAACTTAACATTTATTGTAGCATTAAATATCAGTTTAATTATAAACATTTTGTACAAATTGCATCACCTATTACCAGTTAAAAGTACCTGATGTTCACTAGCTGTATTTGTATACAAGATAGTCTTAGTATTTACTATTATAAAATAATCAGATGATAATTCAATTTTCTAGATGTTGAAGTAGAAGGATTTAAGTACTTTTTTCCTGTGGTTAATTTTCCATTTACAGTATGTGGTCTCATTTCTTTGAAAACTGGAAAATTAGGGAAATTCACTTTTCCTTTAAACAAAACATTTCATTCTAGTGTTTCTTACTGACTATATTTTTCATGTTTATCGTGTCTAATGCAGTCTTCTTCCCTTAAAGAACACACTGTGGTTCAATATTAATATTTCCTAATTCAATTCAGGGATTTGGTCAGCAAGTCATTATCTTGGAGAATTATCTCACAGCAGCACTTACACGAAGCCTGAACTTTTCAAGGGAGATAGAAATGTTGCCCATTAAATGCAGTCAGAGCAGATTGTGGGGTTCGCAGAACAGTGATGTTGGAGCCTCCAGATTGGTTTGGCAGCTGCATTGTTCTCAGAGGGTAAACCAGACGCACTGAAGTCCCAGTCTTTTTTATAGGCTTTTGTTCATACCAAATTATTCTTTCACTGTGCTAGCATTCATGATGGCATGTTAAAGGAGTGCAGCTTAGCAACCAGCTCCTGGTTGCCTGGCAGCCCAGCTTCCAATAGATTTTCCTTGTTTAAGATACTTTTGGTGGGAGCTCTATGAAGGCCACAGTGTAGATTTTCCTTTTAACTGTATCCTTTTATTAGGATGCTGTTGTGAGTTGTTACTGGCATTATGGTGTTAGGATATTACAGTTGTTAATAAATCGGGGGTGTAAGGGTGTGAGGATTTGCTTTCAAAATCTTTTTTCTTAATTCTTAATAATTGGACTCATGCATGTCCATATTAATAGAAAAAAATTCAAATGGATGCAGATTCATAATAGAGCAGATGTATACTTTATGGGATATTTCCTTTTCAGCAAAAGAATCAGGAGCTAGCAAAGTCTGATGTTTCTTTAAAACTGAGGAATGCTTTATTAAAGAACAATGATAGTAAAGCTAATTCACCTTCTCAGAGAATAAGCCGTGAAGAAACTCCTGTACAAGTGTGTAGTTCTTCGACAATGAGGGAATTTCAAGTGCATGAATAAAAAGTCCATGTTACCTTCTCTGGTATTTACCATAGTTAATAAAATTTATTTCACTATTTAGAAATATTTAACTCACTACTAAGCAGATCGATATGCTTTCAAATTTTTGACTTTTCAGAAAATCACTTAGCATTTTCATTTAACCTTTATATAACTATTCTTTTCTAGTGTATGTATTATGTTGAATGGTTTAGAATACAGTGTTTTCCAGGTTCTTTATTAAGTTATTTTAGTAGGTGTTTGACAGCAGTCTCCAATTCTGCTACCCTGCTTCCTACAGTTACACCAGAGCAGGACACTGGAATCCCTAAATCACTACCCCTGGTGCTTGTGTCATCCCTGGGATGAAACACAGAAGAAACAGTTACTTTAAGGGAAAAAAGTAAAACAGCTAAAGCACTTTAAACATTAAAAATGATCCTATAGGGGAAAGATAGGACAAAAGATGAGTTTTAATGAAATGCAGGTTAACTGTTACTTAACTAGATATAATACAGAAGCATTTACTGCCATAAAATCCAAAAAACTGCAGTGACAGTATTTAGTATCCTTAATTATTACTGCTAATTTTATGTGAAATATTTATTTCTCTGTTTTCTATATATGCACATAGGTTAGAGAAACATTTTCCCCCAGGATTAGATAGGCTGTACTGTCCTTGCCATTTAATAAGGACAGCATAATTTTAAAAATTATATTCAGTTACTGTGTTCAGTGCTAGTAAAATCCTAATTATATTCATCTCTGAGATACAGTAAGCTTTGTAGTTATTTGTTGACCATTTTAGAATATACACTTTCCAGTATCTAAATTGTTTTAAAACTAATTTAGATTGTTACCAAACTTCATCTGAATTTTCTTTCTTTGTGATTTTTCTCTTTAACATTACTATTTATAATTCTTTTTACTGTTTTAGTTTATTAGTAAGTGTGTGTAATGCATAATGTTTGTATTCCTTACAGGAAGCTATACATGTACATAACACTTTCTAATGCCTTTCCCTTCTCTTTAAAATAATTTTTAAGATTGTTACGTACATAACTTGTCATGGCGTATCTAAAACATGCTTTTTAAAAAAGTAATTTTCCATGTGTCATTCTAGGAATGTAAGTGAAAAAAATGTCTTCCATCAAGGTTAAATAGTGTGACTTAGTGGAACACGCACAGATTTCTGAGTGAGACAAAAAATATGTAAAAAGCCCAGTTTCATCACGTAACTAACTTTAGTCTTGAAAAATCAGTTACATAGGGGCCAGGGATACAGCTTAGCAGCACAGTGCCTGCCTGGTGAGTGTGGTTTCATGAGTTCTATTCCTGGTACCCAAAAGAAGAAGAAGAATTAGTTGCGTAGTCTTTCTGATTTGTAGCTTCTTCATTTGGGGGGAAAAAATCACAATATGATTTTAGCTAGTGATAAGCAAATATAGACAAAAATTCCCAGTAGATATTCAGTAGTTTGGCAGTTTTCTTATTTATCCATTGATGTAAATCGAAAATACATATGGAATTTTAAATATTTTCCATTTTTATCCAGGAATACGGGGCACTGTGCATTCAGGAGTACAGAAAAAACAACAAAGTGGAGTCAAGTGCGTGTAACAGCTTCATGGGCTTAAAGGACCACCTGGGGCAGGAGCTCAGTCACCTTTATGTGGCGGGCACTGCCCCGCAGTTAAGTGCAGCTGTTCCTTGGCCAATGGGAGAAAAACCAGCTATGGATGCAGTTCATGCCAGGAAGGAGGAAAAAGAGGTGTCTGAGGAGAACCTGAGCTCCGGGGATTCTGAAGAAAGCACAAATTCTGATCATGAGTCAGAACACCTGAGTAGCATTGCAGTAGAGCCATGCCTATTAACCAAGACTCACAGACAGTTATGTAGGTCTCCCTGCTTAGAGCCTCACCTACTCAAACATAATGAAATTTTGCAAGACATTACACCGGAAGAGACCCAGGCTCCATCCAAGGAAGCCAAGAAAGGTCCTGATGTGGTGCGAGAATACCAAACAAAACTGGAGTTTGCACTTAAGTTGGGCTATTCTGAAGAACAGGTTCAGCTTGTGCTAAACAAACTTGGTACCGATGCTTTAATCAATGATATTCTGGGAGAACTTGTCAAACTTGGAAATAAAACTGAAGCTGATCAAGCGGTTAGCACAATTACCAGTCTAACGCGGGAAACGTCTTCTCTGGAATCTCAGAGATCCGAATCTCCAATGCAAGAGATTATAGCAGATGATGGTGAAAATCTAAGACCCATAGTCATTGATGGCAGCAATGTGGCCATGAGGTAAGTGAAAACTCTTAACTGAAAACTATCACTCAACAGTTTTTAAAAACTCTAGTTCTGTGGCTGTTTACTCAGCAGTGTCAGCACAGTTGTTGGCTTTAGTAAAGATCAGTGTCTATCTCTTCAGCCATCCTTGTTAACAGTTCATTTCATGCCCTTTTCCTATTTCATTTTTTTCCTCATGTGACTAAATTACTATGGCATAAAACTAGTGTGATCATATTTGATGAGTGATATTCATTGATTTTGAAAGTAATCAAATGGTTTATTTCCACATGAAGTTAAATAACTATAACAAAACTCTAAATCTTCTAATACGACATGGGAACAAATCTAAGCAGTAGTTTTAAGGTTTTTTTTTTTTCCAATAATAAGATGCAATTGAAAATAATTTTTTAGGAACTGAAGAGAAAAGAAACAAAAGCAATCTTCTATTGAAATTTTTAGTGAGTTTGATCACTTAAAATTCAAAGTACATCTGAATAGTTAATTTGGAATAAAAAGATATATAAAGACATCAGGTTTTCTGGAGAGTTAGAATTGCATAGTATATATTGTTTCTCATACGGTTATCCAAGGATCTCTAATCAAGAGAATTTATTGAACACAAATTTTAAAATTAACATGAATAATACATTGTACTTAGGCCAATGTATCTAAATTATCATTTTGGCAAATCATCAGTTTTAAAAATTATCAATGAATTATTTAGCATTATTCATTTAATAGTCTCTGAGAGCTGGTGTGTGTCTCATAGTGTTGCTGTTGATTTCCATATTGGACAGTGGATCTAGAGCCCTGCACAGAGCCCTAACAAGTCAAATAAAGGCGGAGCTCAGGCATTCGTTTGTAAGAAGTATCTACTCTGATAATGATAAGTATTGAACTTTGAGAACTGTGGTTTTCAGTTGGTGAAAGTAAGTTTTTCCACACAAAATATGAGGTGGACCAATGTGTAATTGTCTAGATAACCTTTCTAGATGAGGCAATATTATCATTTTTCTTTCAAGCAAGTTATACTTACAAGATTCATATTACTCACCAAGGTGAAAAATATTCAAGCTCAGGTACTACAAGTCTAACGTCAAAGTCTGTACTCTTGTCATATAATAAAAAAGAAAAACTAGATGTCTTGGTTACTTTTCTCTTGTTGCTAAGATAAAACCACCCAGTACCCTAAATGAAAGAAAGAAAGGTTTATTTTCAGCTCACTGTTTGTGGAAATTTCAATCCATAATCAGCTGACACCAAGGCAGGGTGGCACAGCACTGGGCAACGCTTGGAGGCAGCAGCCAGAGCCAGAGTGGGAGAGCGAGCCCCTCTCCTCCCTTATACTGTACACAGGCCCCCCACCACCACCCCCTCCAGGGCGGATGTAGCACTCACAAAATCTCTGTGCCCTCCTCTTGCACAGGATGAGGATATTTATAAAGCAAGGACCGTCTCTTAGTTAAACTTCTGAACTTCTCAAATTGACACAATGTATGAACCATAACAGTTTACCCCTTGTCAACTTGGCAACCAGACACATCTCTTTAAATCAGTCTCCAGATACAAAGGCATGCTTATTCTTAGCATTTCATAGTTTGAATCTTGTAACACAGGTTAACAATCCCTAAGAACCAGCCTTAAGTCTATCAACATTATATTACATTAGAAACATATTTTGTCCTTGCCTCCCCCAAAGACTCATACTCATCCCTTTATGCAAATGGCATTTAGTCTTCTGCAAGCATTGCCAAAGTGTAACCGTGTCAGCACTGCTGAAAAGTCCCAAGTCCCAGGTCTCCAAGATGGAAGGAAACTCTTAGCTAGAAGCCCCTGTACAAACAAAAACAGAGTTAAACACTTCCAACATGCAGTGGCACAAAATAAATATTTTCATTCCAAAAGTTACAAATGGCAGGGTACAAAGGATTGGGACAAAAGCAAGTCCAGAATCCAGCAAGGCAAACATTCAGACCTGGTGCTCCATGTGCACCATTTGAGGCAATCTGTGGCATATTGTGAGCTCCAAAGGGCCGGGGTGACTCCACCCCTGCGGCACTTCTGGTGATTACCAATCCCGTGGTTTCTCTCTTGGGCTGGCTTTGCTCCCTCATTGCAGGTTTCCTTAGATGACCCATGTTCCTGGCTTTTCCAAACATCTCCACTGCACCTTTGGCTTCACACTGACAGTTTCACACACTGGCCTCCCAGGGGTGCACTGCTTGGCCTCCCGGGCCCTCTGAAATGGGAGTGGAAGCCTTTTTCACCTGAACTCATGCATTCGCCACACACCTAGAACCAGTACTGTGTGGATGATGCCACGGTCTGCCAACTAGAGCAGTAACTAGACCGTCCTCTCTCTCGGCTGTCGAGGCTGAGTTTCTGGATCACTGGGCATTCTGAACCTGATTCTAAGGGACAGGTTCTTTCTGTTGCCTCCATCCTGGAACCTGGTGCAGTGGCTGCCATCTTGGAACCTCACGTGGCCACTGCTGTCACTCTGGAGCTCTGTGGCTTTCTCCTCCAAGCAGTCTTTCACTTTTGCAGTTTTGAGGCTGCAGAGTGTGGGCCCTGCTGCTTCCTGGGATGTCCCCAGGCCATCTTTTCTATTTCTCTGTTCCTTCTCAGCAACCGAGGTCGCAGCTCTGTTTTTTACAGTCCACAACTTTCTGGCCAAACTCACATTTTAAATCATCCTGCTGGGCTCTTTGCTCTTGATTTGCAACATAAATCTGGCTAAAATCCCCAAGGATAGCCATGCTACCACCTCAACATTCAACTGCCTTGAAATTTCTTTTAGCAGATTAGTTAGTCCACTACCTTTAATCTCCATCTCAGGCAAAGTCTCTGAACACCAGCAAAATGTAGACAAACTTTCTGCCAAGCCGTAACACACATCAGGTGGAGTCCAGCAGCCAATGCAGTCATTGTTTCCAGAAGAAACCTGTGGAGCCTGGTCATACTAGCAGGATTTCTATCAGCCTCTGGTCTCCTGCGCTCTGACCGGAATTTCCCATGTGGAGCAGCCTAAGACATTAAGCTCTACACATTCAGGTGACATCTGCTAACCTTTCCAAACTCTTCCCACAAGCCATTGCCAAGAGGCAGGTGGCATGGCACTGGGGCAACACTTCAAGGCAGCAGCGAGAGAAAAAGGGAAAGAGCAGGCCTCTGCTCCTCCCTTACAGCGTACACAGGCCAGGGCCACCTCCACCACAGCCCCAGGGTGGGGGGAGTCCTCACGTCTCTGTGCCCTCCTCTTGCACAGACTGAGGATATTTACAAAGTAAGGATCCTGGCTCTGCTGAGTCTCTTAGTTAAACTTCTAAACTTCTCAAGTTAACACAGTCTGTCAACCATAACACTAGATTTTAAGATTTTAACCATATGTAACAAGACATTGAATGCTAAGCTGGAGAATTTAAATTTGGCATTGCAATCCAAAGGCTAATTAGGTTTTGGGGAATGTCAGGAGTGGAGTTGTGCCTCATACTGATAATTTGGCAGTGATACATAGAAAGTAGGAGATAGTTTGAGTGCAAGCAGCCCTCTTTAATTAATTTGTGATAAATGTTGTAGACATATGAAGTATACTATACACTTGGTGTTGAAGGTCGTTCAGTAAGATAACCTGTCTGTTGTTTGATTTGTCCCGAACTTGGCACAGAATGATATTTTCCTTGGAATAATCCATATAATATTGAATAACTGCCTTACTGATAATGCAGTGTATAAACTCAAAAGCTATCAAATTGGGAAAGCAGAGTACTGAGAGACCGTTCTTAGGATCCTTGAAGGTTACAGCACCCACAACCACAGTTATGTATCAGCCTTACGAGCAGAGTGTTTAAAAACACAGCTCTTAGCCTTCTGCTCTTGAAGCATCAGATTCAGTGGGATTGAGCTGAAATAAGGACCCATGTTTTTCAGTGCCACCGTTACTCCTGATGAGTAGCCAGTGCTGAGAACCATTTAATGCTAAACGTACTGGTAGTATCTGTGGATCAGAATTTAAAAGAAAGTGATGACCTAGCGAAACAGTAGTAGATGGCATTAGTATTAGAAAAACTAATGCTAGAAAAACCAAGAGATACAGAAATGTCATCAAAATGAAAAAAGGGAGAGTTGTATTTTAAAAAAAAATTAGGAGGCACAATGTACGAGAAGTCACTGTGTTAAGAGTGGAAGAAAGAAGCCCAGTTATGAACGTTGAGAGCTGGAGGAACAAACCGGTCCACAGACCGGCCCCCTAAAAGTGGACAGGACCGGAAGGAGAGAGGGGAGCGCTGCGGACGGTGTTGGCTTCGTTTCTGAGACTGAAGCTAGGCAGAGAGGAAGGGAAGGAGAGCAAGAGGCCATGTGGGAGCCGGGTGTGGTTTCCCAAGCAGTGCCGCAGAGGACACGGGGAGGCACAGCAGCAATGTGACAGAGGGGGAAAAGTGCTTTTGGATGAGCAGAAACAAACTTGAGAGGAAATGTAACACGAGACTTATAAAACGTGAACTTTTAAGATGGATATGATTTAGATAAATGATGTCACACTTGGGCCAGCTGCATATGTAGTCATGGGATTCAAACCTAGTACCCAAAGAAATACTCAGATAGCTAAAAATCCACATGTAGCTCCAAACTTTACTCACCTGGCAAGGTGAGAGTTATTTACAGGGGATCTTTTATATATATAAAGACAGATGGCATAATTAAAGCATTTCAAACAGCCGTTCTTACATAATTGTGAAAACAGACCTCGGCCCCCACATAACTGTTAGCACCATTCCATGCCTCTTGCAATCAAAATGGCTCTACGCAGGTTTGTTTCTTCTCCACATCTAATAGCTTAGCCGGACGCTTAAACTGAAGCACTTCGGGCATTTCAGGAGGGAAGGAGGTGACGAGAAATTTTTATCATAGTAGCATTAAACTGTCAGTCACAATAAAATGTTCCGTGGCCAGAATTTTGAAAGCACTAAACCCAGGAAATTTATAGTAAATTTTTATATTCTACTACTTAC